CAAATAATTAACTCGTCTGCCAAAGGAAGCGGTGAATGTGCTCACCTGATCAATTACTGCCACAACCTGCTTCGTAGGGATGATTGGGAAGTCTTGGTGGTTCATGTGTTCCGTGAAGGTAACCGTGCTGCTAACTGGCTTGCTAATCGGGGCGTGGCTCAATCAGACAATCTTCTTATTCTCAGTAGTGCTCCTTCGGAGCTTAGTAGGATTATTAGTAAGGATGTACAAGGTGTGGCTTTCCCACGCTTTGTTCCTCCTTGATAGGTTGTTGATTGTTTTTTTTTTTTTTAATTTTGTTGTGTTTTCTTTTTTTCCTTCTTGGTCTTGTACCTCATTAGCAAAATATATATATATATATATATATATATATATATATATATATATATATATAATAAAACCTAGCTATTACATGTGCTACCAAATTATGCTGTACATTTTACATTTACTAGAAATATGTTACATTTAAAAAAAAAATTAAAAGACAGGATCTCCTTTAAAGTAACAATATAAACACCTTCTATATACTTCGTATTTCATACCTACGTTTTTTTTAAAAAGTGCAATATTATAATGGGTGAACTATACATTAAGGGCCTGTTCATATTTACTGAACCGAGCTGAACTGAACTGAACTGATTGGAGCTGAACTGAACTGAACTGAACTGAACTGAAAAATTAAAATGCATAAAAATATATGAAAATGTTTATGAAAATTAATGATAATATATATAGTGGATTGTGAAAAATATAAAAGTGTTTTAAAAATAACTCTGTATTTTAAATTATTATATTTTAAATTATTAAATTTTTGTGTATTATATTTTAAATACATATATATAAATAAAAAGTATTGTTCAATATTTTACTGTAGTCAATCGTTGCTTGTTATACTCTACACAATTTTGTTCGTTTACATGAACTAGGGATTCCATTCACGCACCAAGTTGAAGTCATGGGACCAACAGAAGATCATACTATGTACGATGATAACAGAAAAGCAGCTATGGATATTGTACGAAATCAAATGACTGATCAGATATGGGAGTCAATTCAGAGGAATGCCGAGGTAATGGAGCAACTTAATGAAGAAGAAGACGACGAAGAACTAACCGATTATGAAAGCTAGTAACTGTTGTGTAGTACTCTCATTTTGTCAATGAATTCAACTATAAAAAAAACATGTGACCATTTTGAACGACGAATATAATTTATAATAATAATAATAATAATAATAATAATAATAATAATAATAATAATATTATTATTATTATTTTATTATTATTATTATTATTATTGTTATTATTATTATTGTTATTATTGTCGTTGTTGTAATATGCTAAAACATCTAAAACAAAAAAAATTAACAACTGAGCTGAACTGGACTGATTAGAGCTGAAATGAACTGAACTGAACTGATTGGAGCTAAACTGAACTGCACTGAACTGAACTGAAAATAAGTAAATATGAATAGGCCCTAAGTATTTAAGTGGCTTTGTACGAATGTATAAATACTTGATTTTATCATGTGATATATTGTTTGATTAATAACAATGAATATTTTACTAATATATCACTATTTTTAAAATTTATAATAATGAATACAATGATATTATGAGTAATGATCAAAGTAATGTACGAAGTAGTTTAAATAAATAAATAAAATAAAATTGATGTACGAAGTATGGTAAATAACTAAATATACTAACCAACTTATTGCACTTAAAAAATAGATGAAGGGTCTATTCTCATTGACTAAACTGAGCTGAACTACACTTATTGAACTGAAATAAATTTAACTGAACTAAATATTTTATAAGAGACAAAAATTAAGAACTAAACTGAATTGAAATAAAATTATTAAAGCTGAATTGAAAATAAGTTGAAGATAACAGACTCGAAGTATATAAAGTACAGAGGATGTTATACAGGTTGTATTCCTTATGTATTGTATTTATTTCTTTATTATTGTGTAGTTGTGTTGAAGAAAACGAGGAGAAAGAGGAAAAAAAATAAAGGGAAATGAAAAAAAAAATTAAAGGAAGAGAGAAAGTGTAGATTCTCTCATGGTTTTATTTTATTATTGTTGTTGCTTTCTGTTGCAGACATATCAATTACTTTCTCTCTCCTGCTGTCTCATAATATTCAAGAAAGATTGGGGTTTATTTGGGTTTTTATAATTAGAGTACTTGTATATTTTTGAATTTTTATGGGCTTTTTTATCTTAAAAATATGAGATTGGGACAACTCAGAATCATGGAGAATAGACCCAATAATAAATAATGTGCATATCTTAAACAATCTGTCTTAAATTTCACTATGTTAGAATTTAAATTGGGAATTGGTATGTCATTCAGAAATCAGAATATATTTTGTTTGTGAGTTTCAACTGGCTGCTTAGTTTGCTAAGAATGAATTGATTTTGTTCATTTGGAATGAATTAGGGTAGCCATAATTAGAGTCGAGTCTGTTTTTATAAGTTTATTTTCAGTTTAGTTTAGTTCAGTTCGTTTCAGCTCAGTTCAGTTCAGTTCAGTTCAATTCAGCTCCTAATTTTCTTCTCTTATAAAATATTCAGTTTAGTTCAATTCAGCTCCTAATTTTCTTCTCTTATAAAATATTCAGTTCAGTTCAGTTCAGTTCAGCCTATGAGAACAGTCCCTTACTCATGTCTGGAGCTTGTTCAGTTGGTGACAACATTAATGAGGAAAAATATGTAAACAAATGTGTTTAGGATTTAAAGGTTCACAATAATAATAACAACAACAACAACAACAACAACAACAACAACAACAACAACAACAACAACAACAACAACAACAACAACAACAATAATAATAATAATAATAATAATAATAAGGAAAAAAATGGAAAGAATTGAAAAAAATAAACAATTTTTACACCGATTTACTCGTGAATTGTCAATAATTTTTTAACTACGAGTAAATACTAAAAAAGGAAGTATATTAAATGTTTATATAACATTATCCTAATAATAATACGGAGTGGTAATTAACATTGATGAGGGTACCTAAGTAAATAAATATTTAAGACAACATAATTGTCCAATCACTATTTATATTTTAGACGGTATAATTGTCCAACTACTATTCATTAGAGTTAAATCATTAATTAACACAATGAAAAGCATAGAGATAATTAACATCGTATGAATAAGGGTATAAGTAAACAAACATTTTAGGGACAAAATTATCTTCACAATATTAATAAGTGTTTTCTCATACTTTTTAAATGTAGGGATCGGATAAAAATAAAATAATTTTGGTATTGATCATATTCAAGTTAGAAAATAAGCAAAACAATTTGTGTTATACTTTGTCTCACCTATATTTTTTTTCTTCTTATTTCATACTTACAAAGTATACAATTTTTTTTTAATGTAAAATAAGACGAACTAAACCGAGCCTAATAATAGCAAATACTAGTAAGAAATTTGCACAATAATCATTACCAGCTACCTACTGCGACTAGTATGAACAATGATATGATTTGTTAATTTTTATTGAGTACAGTATGGGTGCATTAAAAAAGGCACAATTATGTGGACCCACTGTCAAGTGTCCAAGTACCCCATTTGACAATTTTATAGTATAGTCATGCATGGATAATGCATTTTCTTAATGCTTTCTACTCTAATCACAAATCTGCCCCTTTCTATCTTTTTTAAGAAGAATAACTTTGAAGTTAACCTCCTGTATTAAACTCTTTTTAATATTCATTTTAGGTATTCAAGATGACGAGTCATAATTTTGGTTTAGTTGTAAATAATATGCCAATAATAAATTGAGTGTAATTCCTCTATGCTAAAATAACTGCAACATCATTTATATGTTTGCTAAATCCCAATTTATTTTGATCACTAACCTATGTAAATGTCTTCTTCTTCTTCTTCTTCTTTTTTTTTTTTTTTTTTTTTAAATGAAAAATGTCTGAAAATGTACTATAGCAGACACCTCTCTCAGCCACCACTAAATTTTTCTTGGTTTTAACTTTTTTTGTGAGACAATCACCATTAAATAAAAAGAATTTTTAGAGCAAAATAGTAAATCTAATAATAAATTTAATAATTGCTTACAATGAAATAATAATAAAAAAAAAATCGGACAATATGCATAGTGTAATAGATAAAGTATTAGATAATTTCGTCAACTATTTACACCCAATTACATATTTTATCCAAAAAAACTTTGAAAAATTACTTTGATTCGTGTAATTTTGTTATCCTTACTCAATTATTGTCAAAGTTTTTTTAAAGAAGAAAAATCAATTATAGGGAATAAAATTCGTGTAAAAAAATATAAAATTATATTATAGAGGAATAAAATTAAAAATAATTTTTCGTCATTGCTTAATGCCTTTATTATGGTCAAAGGAATTTTTCAATAAAAATCAAATATTTTCTGGGAAAAAAAAATCCAATTTTCGTCAAAAAAATTAAGACCATTTCTCGATTTGTGCGTGTCATCCTTGCGCAGGGGCCATGCTAATCTTCTCTGTATCGTTCCAATTTTATCAGATGTCCCTGAAGGGAAAACCCATAAGTAAAGGTTGAGCTATATAAAGAGGTAAACAAACTTCTAAGTTTCGATGTGGGACTCAATGTTGTTCAGTCACACAAGTCAATATCAGACCTTCAGTAATCTGCTGACAAACATGAAAGATAAATAAAGTACTTTTGGTCTATATTCTATTGTTAATCCATGTAAAAACATTCAGCTGTAAAAATGAACAGCTCAATTTAACAATCACATATCAAACAAGCCTGGAACAATCTACAACTTTCTGCACTTCAAAACTTATAAAGCTTAATAACTAAAATTGAGCGGTAGTTCAGCAAGAAGTCACCAAGAACTCCAGACTTTTGAACCTTAGCTTAAGATCTATCGAGTTTTTGAGCACTTAACTAATAACAGGATCGATTGGGCCTGTTTGAGGAAAGGGAAGTAAAATCACAGGTTGTGATCGACTTCAAGAACATTTCATCACGATTCGATTGCTTTAATTTCATGCTCAACAAACAGAGGAAACTTTCATTAAACTAATGTTTGGTAGGTAATATTAGAATTCAGTCGTTAATTTATACTCCGTAAAACTGTAATGCAACATCACTGCACAAGTCTTTGGAGGAAAGGACTTAAGGAGTCCAACTATAAGAACACTCAGTTTGTCCGAACAAAAGAAACCTGTTAAGCATATATACAACATTTGATTGAATTAAACTTAAGCAAATATTAGCGCGTTTTCTGCAGTCAAAAAAGTTGTATCCTCGTACTGCATTGCTAGTTCCTGCCAACGGTCAGCCATCAGACCCGTCGAAGTCATTCCATGCCTACTGCTTTTTTGCTGGGACAACAAGTTGGTTGCTCCCAAACTGCAAGCAACATCTTCAGTTAGCTTAAAGAACACCATCTTTTGATGAAGACAATCCAACTTCCGCGTTAAAAACATTTAAGCATGTATTGTTAAACAAGGGCTCTATGCAACCTTTTACAGACTAAACACAAATCTACCAGGAATTGCTAAAAATCATTGTTTTATTTGAATAAGAAACATGGTATACCAAGAAATTAATGTTCGTATACTGAGATTCTTCACAATATTTGATGTGAGACGGAACATTTATCAGATAACAATCTTGAGGTTTTTAGTCAACAAGTAACTAGCATAAGTCTATTGCATTAAAGATGCTTCAATGACTCAACCCAACAGGTCAACAACAACAATAACAATTACAAAAAGAAAACAATAAATTGTTATTGTGGTTAAGGTTTTTGTCTTGGTTGGTACACTATGATTAATTAAGCATATTGAATAAAAAAAAAAGTCAACCGACTATTTGACAAAGTTCATCGTCTTTGTGTGAGTCTTCTAACGACAGTCCAATTCTTATTGTTTTATTAAATTAATTGCTGCCCGGTGCCTACTATCCATTGTAAGGGTATACTGAAGGACTAGCAGCCACCAGACAGATTACGGATACTTTATGTAGATTATGAAATTAACATCCATTCCAAATGGCAAATACAATATGGGACTTTACTTAGCTGAATCATTATAACCAGAAAATCATAATTAAATCAAAGTGCAAAGTTTACCTCTCTGGTAATAGTCGAGTCTCATCTTCTAAACAGCTTGAGATGATCTCTGGCGCTTATAGTATTGAATGATTGGTTCTTTGACCTATGTCCAGGCAAAGTTACATTACAGGTCAGAGGTTAGTTGTAACTTGTAATGCTGTAAATACCATTGCTAAGTTGCTTTATTTAGACACTGTAACTTACCGTGCTTGCCTTCCTAGTACGCTTGTCTTGTGATGGTCTGCTGCACATTACGTCATCAGTCTCATTGCTGTTTCTTGTTTGCCCATTCAATTTGGATTTACCACTCCCAGGTATGGTACTCTCTCTTGAAGCTGCTGGCTGTTAGGAAATCACATAAGAGTTACAGTTATATTTATTTTGAGAGGACATCAATATATACTAGCAGATACTAGAACATTGAAAATCTAAGAAAGGTGCTTCAGTAACACTAACCCCAGTCTTGCTTGTGGGGGTATATGGACCCTCCCTTGCTTTTGAAATAGACTGATCACTCCAAAGCGAACCATTTTGATGCATATCAGGTTCAGATCTGATTCGCATGCGTGTGATATCAGATCCAATGGAGTGAAGGACGCCACAAGTTGACACATCAGGCTTTTTGATTCCTGCAAATTACAAGGTAATTAGCATATGGAAAGCTATAGTAGTTGGTTTATGAGTCAGACAAAGGTGAGCGTTTCACCAGTTTTCTCAAGTTCTGCATGGTTCAATTTGCTTTGTTGTGCAGTAACATCAACATCCTGTTAAACAGATTAGAATCGAGTAGTTAGAGCCTTGTCTTGCATAATTTCTCAGTACAGCTGAACTAATATATCCAACAGATAATTGCATCATCACCATAGCTTCAAAATCCAACGTCTTTCTGACTTCACGTAGCTTCATATCAGCTGCATCTGAATGGATGACACGCTTGCCTGGAACAGAACAAAAAAAAATATTATACTAAGTATAAGCTCATATGAGAAGAAGCATAGGAAAAAATGCAGCTACACAGACCTAGCCTGCGGTTGCTTGTAGCTTCAACATATCCTTCTCGGGCCATTTTGTCAATCAGTTTTCTCACAGTAGTTTGGTTGGCATCACCATCAAGTTTGCTTTGAAGCTTGCTGATCGTGACATAATCCATTGGAAGAGCATGGTATAAGGCCTGCACTCAGAACTTATAAAGTCAAGGACACAGTAAACGAAACCAAAACCTGTATAATATCAATTTTATTTAAATTCTGTTGACAATTGTTTATTTTGCATCTTCCTTTGAGGTAAAGGAAGAAGAAATAAGTTATGTTGCAGCACTTGCAATCATCCCTATCTTTTCTCTAGTCTAGAAAAAAATGCTCCAATGCCAAAAACAGAAAGTTTAAAGGCCTAAAAATAAGCGTCTGTCACAACTCACAAACTGTCGAAAGGAACAGGAATGTACTGTAAAATAAAACTCCATCTAATATGCAGAAAGAATGGAAGTGACCTACTAACCTTCATATACAAGAAATCTTCTCCAGAAGCAGGGGCAGATTTCTCTTCATTAACTGGAACTTGATCATCTATTTCTTTTTTGACATCAAATTCATACTCAGATTCCTGATGCATCAAATGGACATTCAGAACAAAGTACACAGTTGCAGAAGAATGAGATAAGAAATGCAATGAGCAGGAGTGACAAAGTGTAATCCAAGTAACCTTTCGTTTGTTGACAGAATATGTATCTTTTCCGGATTTAGCTAAAACACCTTCGAGAACAAGCTTGTCTATGATCTCTGCCATCAATCAAAATTATGCACATATTTTCTGTTATGATGAAAGTTCAAAGGTTGCTTTTGATACTCCTCACTGACAGGAAATGGAGTAAGATAATTTACCTTCAATCAGCACCTGCAATTGTATAAGATCAAAAACAAAATTATGCTATGCAAAATGCAAGATTAATAGATTGCAAGTCTTCTTTGTCTAAAAAATTATTACCACAGAGATGTCAGGGAAATTTGCAAGCACATCAGTGAATTCCACAGAATCAAAACTGTTAGAGATGATCCAGTCCTTGACTCGGTTTGATTGTTGTTCATCTTCTGCTGGATCCTGTGTGAAATCTGCAAAGTACCAGAAATTTTATGTAAAACAAGTAGCATTATCCTTTTGATGCAGTACCCTAAAATGAGAAGTGTCGTTACCACTTCCTTGAGAAGCCATGGTGTCTTCTTGATAAGGTTGCTGCTTGTCTGGAAAGGCAAAGCACAAAACAGAAAGTAAATCAGTATATCTACACAATGTCTCTTATGAACTTGCAAGAAGACCATTACAGTGCCTAGTAAGTTGAGAGAGAAAGTTGAATTACCCACTGGTTGGATGACATACTGATCTTCTTGTGAGGAGCTGACCTGAATGAGATGCACAGTGTGTTACAATGAGATAAACAATTTCTTACGCAAAACATTGGCACACTGAAAATGCAAAATCAGTTACATACCTCACTGCCAGATTCTGAAGTATCATCTCTATGAACAGAATCATTTCCCAAACTCACACTTTCATCATTATTATCATCATTGTCATCTTCACAAGGATCTAACACACTTTTGACCTGTAAAGATAAATGAATCCCGTTATGAATGGAGTAACAAGTGAGAACTGTAATCGCCTGATTCAAATATTTCTCAGCTTCTATTCTCACCTTCAGAGCCAATATAAAATGCTTGCTATTCACATTCCCAACCTCCATTCTCAAGGGATTTCTATTCCACAAGTTCCGAGCATCCTCATCTGTGCAGCCTCTGAAGAATGGTGGTTCATAATCTGCTGGCTGCAGTTTCAGTTGATGTAACACTTAGAGATACATGCTATGAATTAATCCAAACATAAGGACAGGTATGTTGGAGCAGGACAAAGAAAACACATAGCTCTTGCCACAGCTAAACTAGGACTCTCATTAAAGTCTGAAGGTGTTTCTTCTAGGAACAAGGTCACTAGGAGTCTGCATTCTGAGGCTTTTCAGATTCAGATACATGGCTCTTATGATCATGAACTGCATAAGCCAGAGTCTTACTATAATTAATTGCACAAGGTTATGTGTGTGGTGTCAACTTATAGAAAATTATTTTCTTAGTGATACTTCTTACCATAAATGACCTTTAGGATTTAACAGCTTTTAATCATACACTCATGATACAGACTGACAGGCACAGATACAATCAGCACTGATACAACAGGCAAGCAAAGACATACCGTCACATCATCAAAATAGAGGAGCTTCATCAAGATTGTGCGCTGAAATGTGAAAAGGTAATATCAATATTTTATTTGATATAAGCCAGACAAACATACAAAATTGCATGGTATCCTGTGATTGATTTGCTGAATTTTTACCTCTTCAGGCATTTTGTCAAGTGTTCTCATAAGTTGAACCAGAGTGCGAATCATTTTGCAAGCTGAACTCCTACAATTATGCACTCTTCAAATTAGAATTTAATTGCATAATAGCTGATCTATGTCAGCAGAACTCCATGCATATAATATCATTACAAAAATCTTAGAGAAAAGGGGATAATAAAGTAGGTTTTACTTCATTTGATTTGGAGTAACTTCATCAGTTGAGTTGCACTTGAAAGATCCTCCCTGCTTTTTGTTTCCAGTGCGATTAAAATTCATGCAGACTTCTTGGCTTTGAGCATTTGGGTAGCTAAACGAAACTGTAGGACATATATATACAATATGATAAAGATAGGCATATTAGTCGAGTTTCAGTAAGTTAACATCATAATGTAAAGAAGACTTGCAGACAAGTAGATTCAGGAATAAGAAACTGAACAATTTACACATGCTTAATTATTGCAACATAATGATAAATCCCTCTAATCAACCTAATTGACACATTGAAATGCAGTAGTACAGTGCTTTTGTGTGTGTGTTTTAGTTGGCTTGTATAAGAGTCTTACATGCATATTCTTCGATTACTGGACCGTCTATAGCCTCACATATGCTGAACAATAGAGTCCTTAGGTACTTATTCTGCAATGCATCATAAACGCCTGCAAAAACACAGCACAGCCAAGTTTATCAGCTAGCAAGTAGCAATAGAGCCAACAGGTAGTATGATGAAATCAATTTAAAGGTGTACTCACCTTTCTCCATCCAATCAATCAGTCTGCGGGACTCAGGATCCATTGGCATCAGCTTCTTTATCTTCATCTCTAATGATTAACACGAATTCCCAAAACACACAAACTGATTAGACTAACATATTTTCACAAACATAAACTGAGGTGAAATCAACTAGAATATTACCTAGAGCAGGAACATTCTTGTCATTGAAATATTTCTCTGGAAATAGGCCTCTTATGTAACTGATGTTGAATATTGCAATCCGAAGCAAATTCCTAGTCTGCAATAAGTCATTTTTCAGTATTATATTTACTGATCTTATCTCCAAAATGGCCAGCCTACTTATATTTTCACCATTACATATTTTTTTTCTTCTTCTCAAGATTCGAGTTATCGAAAGGTTGTTTATCTTCGATCATTCAGTGATAACATGAGTTGCGAAGCAGTACAATATTACAAACAGAATTATGAATTCATAGAGGTAGGAAATCAAATCTGAGACCACAGATTTTCCGATTCAAAAAATTATCCAAAAATGTAGCAATTCAACTTCCAATAATTTGGCAAGAAAGATTTTCAAAAATTCAATTAACAGTTCTTTCAGAGTTACAGAGGCGCGTAAACATCAAATTCATACAAATTCAAAATTTCAAACATTTTTCGTACCAAAAATTGCCTCGAATATCTCTATTTCGCAAAACTTCTCGCTAAATTAACTTCGCAAATTCAACCTAAAATTTCCGAAACTAGTCGTATAACAGCAAAATTAAATTACTGAATAATCCACCAATAATTCCAGCCGATAGCACAATTAACACAGGATAAACATATATTTCAACATCAAAACGAAAATAAAGCCCTAATCCGAGGAAAATAGGCAATATACAAAAATCAGAAGCTAATTATAGCGAACAAACATGAAATTCAAACGATCGAACTATTGATTGAAGCGTTGTAAAACGATTTAGTAATATTCATCTTCGATTGAGCTGAAAATTGAGATTATGAGTGAAATTTTACCAGTAGAAGAGATTCTTGCTCAGTTATTTCAGCTTCCTTCACCTTTTGGGCGACAACCTACGTCAAAATGAGAAGCATATATAAGAACTCAGAAAATTCTGGAAAACAGCAATGCAGTGAGAATAACAAAGGAGATAATCGGAATGAGGAGAGAGAAAATCACCATTTTCGCCGGAGTATTGAGCTTGTAGAGAGAAACTTGCGCAGTAGAGAGAGAATGAGAGGGAAAAAGGATTTTCGGTTTGATGGTTCGAAAATTTGAATTTGGAAAATGAGAGTAAGTTGGAAATTGGTGAAAACAGGGGTATATAAAGACCGCGAAGTTTTGCCTCCCCTATGCTATGATTCAATTCGGAGTATTAATTTTTTTGGTATTATTATGTATTACTCCGTATCATTACATATGCATATTGTAATACTACTTTTTTTTTTTTTTTTTTTTTGAAACATATTGTAATACTACTATGTAATACACTATGTTAGAGATATCGGAAAATATATGTGTGATATATTTTCCGTAGATATCATTTAAGTAAATAATATATTTAATTAGGATATTTATGTTAAGATATTATTTTGAGAATATATCTTAAGGGTTTATGGTTAGACGTATATCTTTTAGGAAGATTGTTTCCTATCTTATGAGCTTAGGTTTTGTATAAATACTCAACCTATTGATGAATAATAATCAAGCCATTCTATTCTATTTCTCTCTAATTTGTCATGGTATCAGAGCAGGTTAAATCTTGGGACCGCTCACAAAAATTTCTCTCCCTGCCGGTGGGTTAGAAAGTTAAACCCATCGGTGGGATTCAAAATTTGCTTCCGCTATGCAATATTAATATTTTTTAAATTTTTATTTTTTTAGGTTGGTACACGTATCATATATTTGTATGTGATTTTTTTTTGGGAGAATTTTTTTTTTGTGAGTATGTGAGTGGACTTCCTCCACTATAACACATCTTTGGAGATGAAGAAATTAAAAAACGGCTCTTTTGTGTCGTGAGACAAGATATATTTGGTTCTCCTTGTGCCGTGAGACAAGGTTTTTGAGTTGATTTGAGCCATGATTTTGCTCTTTTGAATTTGAGTTTGGTTTTACTCTGAAAAACTAATAAAAAATTTGAGTGTGGTTTACTCTGAAAGACCAAGAGATTTGAGTGTGGTTTACTCTGAAAGACCAATAAGAGATTTGAGTGTGGTTTACTCTGAAAGACCAATAAGAGATTTGAGTGTGGTTTACTCTGAAAGACCAATAAGAGATTTGAGTGTGGTTTACTCTGAAAGACCAATAAGAGATTTGAGTGTGGTTTACTCTGAAAGACCAATAAAAGATTTTAGTGTGGTTTACTCTGAAAAACCAATATTTGATTGGAGCTCGGTTTTGCTCTGGAAAAACCAAAATTATTATATTTGCAGGTTCGAAAAGAATGACGTTCCTGCTTGATTGATTGATGACTGATGAGTTCGAAAAGATGAACGTTCTCATCATTGAAAAAGAAGAAAAAAAATTGAAGGCGACATCTCAAGAGTGTGCATCTCGGCTTCAACAAAGTGAAGAATTTCCAATCGCAACGTTCGTGTTACTGCCGTTACGATTGCGGGAGGGTGTTAGAGATATCGGAAAATATATGTGTGATATATTTTCCGTAGATATCATTTAAGTAAATAATATATTTAATTAGGATATTTATGTTAAGATATTATTTTGAGAATATATCTTTAGGGTTTATGGTTAGACGTATATCTTTTAGGAAGATTGTTTCCTATCTTATAAACTTAGGTTTTGTATAAATAATCAACCTATTGATGAATAATAACCAAGCCATTCTATTCTACTTCTCTCTATTTTGTCACACTAATACTGTATTAATTTATTACATCTATTATTAAACTAACTCGATTTCGGGATGAACTCGAGTTCGGTTTAAAATAGTGAAAATACACATAATATATGTAATATACGAGGAGTGCCATAAGAACACCCCCCACTAAACAACCTATTATTTTAACCATTACAATTGCCGGAACTTTGTGGAAGTTTCCGACTACGTTAACATTGTAAGATTTAGCTTCTGATCCAAATACAATTGGAATCAGAACGAAAAAAATGAATGTGTGAATGATTTTACCTTTGTTTATTACCATGGCTTGTTCAGTTATTGGATGTACAAGAGTATAAGTGCTTTAAAAACTGAAAATATTATCTTAAAATATATTAGTAGAAGAGATATTTGTAATGGGGGTTGCTGTGATGGTGAAGGAAAACAGAGGAGAAAGTGCAGTGAGCACTGAACAGTAATAGAGGAGGAAGAAAGGAATGAAATTACAAAATTACCCTCATATAAATAATGGAAATGACTTTGTTCTCAAATTTTTTTTAAAGGAAATCACTTTTATACCCTCTGATTAAGATGAATTTTCTCGTTTTTTTTTTTTTTTAGGGATCATTTGTGTTTTTTGAAGGGATGTATTTTCCCATTTTATAGGAGTCAATCAGTCCTTTTTTTTAAAAAAAAATTAAAGAAAAGTCACTTCCACAAGGTAAACCATGTGGAGTATCGTGATTAGCTGGTAATTTCATTTTTTAAGATATCAAAAAAATCATTTGGTCAGAAGATGGAGCAGGGCCGCTTATTGGGCTGTGCAAATAGCCCAACATCACAGGGCCTAAGATTTTCTGGGCCCCAAAATCTGGAAATTTAATTTATTTAATATAAATATTTAGTAAGCTTTGTTGTAATTTACAAGTTGGCTTAGTTGGTTAAGTTTTCCGTTCATGAATTAAATCTTAGCTTCACATGCTGTGTTCGATTCCCCTCCCACCCCTTTATATATTTTTGGTTTAATTTGTTAACAAGCAAATCAGTGTAAGAAGCAATCTATGGTTAGAAACCTTACTTTATTGAGGTTTTTAGTCCAAACAATAATTTCATTATCAATCTATGGTTAGAAATCTTACTTTATTTAATTATTCTTGGAGGTTTTTAGTCCACACAATAATTTCATAATCAATTTATGGTTGAAAACCTTACTTTATTTGATTATTCTTGGAAGTCAATCAGTATTTTTTTTGTAGATCCGTTTCATACGTGTGAAATTACTATACCAAACGCCACTTAGTGAATTCCTTAGTGGGATTATTATATGTTTCACATCATATTTCAGTTTGTGCCAAACTCCAATATAAGAAGTGTTGAAGCAGATTATTACTTAATTGAGGAAGATATGGTCAAGTACATTAAATGTTGAGGCTTATTTCTTGCCATATGAGGATTTAAGGCTTTTAAAAGAAGTACGTAGTACTTTGTATGAGAATGTGAGGAGAATGAGGAGATAAAAATGAGTGGAAAGTTAAGGTGGGATTTTGTTATTATAGTCGTAACTCATAAGCAACCAATTCAGTTATTATAGTCATAATCAACCAATTCAAACACCTGGTACTAGGTACTAGTGTAATAGGTACTAAATTTAGGTAAATACAGGTATTTATATGCTTTAATTGATCTTATATTTGTTTTTTTCTTGCGTACTGCGTTGGTATTTTTAAAAATGTAAACCCATTTGCTTCTTCATAGGGGTTGCTTTTTCAAATTAAGCTATTAATCTTATTAAATACAATACTCCGTTAGGATTTTCGGACACTAGCGTTGAGCGTTCAGCATTCTATACTTCTAGTGGACAATACTCCCTCTGTCTCTTTATTAATGTCCACTTTCTATCATTTATTACTCACATAATAAAGAGAAAGTGGATATTAATAAAGAGACGGAGGGAAAAATAACTTCCTTTGTCCTTTCTTTACACAATATACTAATTTTATGTGTTTATGTAATATACCAATTAGGCATTAAATTTCATGAAAACAAAGGCCCTGTTTGGGAGAAAGCTGAAACTGATTGAGTTAGCTGATTTTGACTAGCTGATTTTATTAACTGATTTGACTAACTTATTGTATTAACTGGTTATATAAAAGTGTTTGGTAAATAGCTGATAGCTTAAAGGTGATTGAGTATGTGAAATGACCAATAAGCTAATTGTGGGGTAGGTAGTTTAGATAGGATTTTAAATTAAATGAGGTTATAAGTGTCATTTCACAATAATTAATGAATAAGCTAATTGAAAAAGCTCCTAAAATGAGTTTTTTCAAAAAGAGCTTATTTAGTGGAATAAGCTCTTTCAATAAGCTTTCTACCAAACACTTATATTAGCTTGTTTGACTAGTCAATCAGCTAAAGTTAGTCAAATAAGCTAATATACCCCCAATAAGCTTACTACCAAACAAGGCCAAAGTGAGACTTATTTGATTGGTCACAGGTAACAATACTTAGGGATGTTTATCGGTCCAAGACTAGACCGGACCTAACCGACCCAGATTGGACCGAAGACTGAAAATTAGAATTTTAAGAACCGAAAACTGAACCGATTAAGCTAGGACTGAACCCGGACCAAACCGCTTTGGACCGACTTAAGAATTTTTTTAAAAAGAATACTAAATCTTAGTAAAGTTATGGAAAATACGAAAAGTAATTGGAAAAACTATATTTTAACGTCATTTTTACGTCTTTTTTTATGTTTAGTACAAAAAAACTTATAAAATTAAAGTATTCTAAGCTTATAAAAGATAATTTTAACCATTATTTAAGGTTTCACGCATATTTTTAATAAAAAAAAAAAGCAGTCCGGTCCAAGACCGATTTATATAGGGTTTTGGACCAGACTGGACCGAAAACCGAAAAAATGAATTTCAACACCCAAAGACCGAGTCCGGTTCGAGTTCGGTCCGGAGTGGTCCGGTCCATTTTTCGGTCCGGACCAATTTACGAACATATTAATACTCATTTATATCAAAAAAGAATGAACATCAAAGTTAGACTTATTTTTTTATTTTAAATTTTTGAAGACCACCCAAATTTCGATTTATTGTTGTTAATTTTTCCAAAAATTAATAAAACAAAAAAAAAATTCTAACAAGCAGAGGCGGATCCACGTTGACGCCTGGGGGGCACGTGCTATCCCCCCCCCCCCCAAAAAAAATGATTTTATGAAAAAACCACCCTTTATATTTATATAAAGATTACAATCTGCATATATGTTTACTATCTCCAGCATTGCTTCAGTGGTAAGGGAGTTGTAACTCTCATAAGGAGAGTTTAGCTTGTTGAGGTCAGGGGTTCGAGACCGCTTTGCATATATTTATTTTATGAATTTCCACTTTCCTCTACTTTCATCAACACAAGGATAAGCTAGTACTATGTTTCCAAAGATATTTTATCATAGTATAATCGATATCAAGAATATAAATTATTTGAAAGAAAAAAACTTGTCAATATAAATGTTTAAATTTGATTGTCAATTATAATACGATACACTACGCATTATATTCAAAATTTAACATAGTTTGTTTGGCTGATTGTATTACGTTACGTTACAACA